CTCTCTTTGAAATTAAGCATTTCTTTGGCATGAAACAAGCAGTATGAGTTTTACAAAACTCAATCAACCTCGTCAATGTATTATTTACCTCTGTTGTTTCTCTAAAGCTCAACCTAGCAAAACCTGATTTCATGAAGTTCCCAATCTAATGAAGAAATTCCCAATCCTCAGTAAATAACCATTGAATTCAGGGTTACCATCAACCCAAATTAACTTACTAATTTGGCCAAGTTTTTCCAGAAATAGAAGAGTTAAAGAAAAGTGGCTACTTCCCCCTAAATGTGAACGAGACAGGTTTTTCTAACACCATCGAACTAAAACATGCATGTGCCCCAGCATAGCTTTGATGAGTTTGCATGCAGCGGCCAATCGCAGAACAGTAGACCCAGCATCTGCATTTGTATCCAGCTGTAGGTGCCTGGTCATGTATTGGTTATCCTTTTCCAAAAATGGTCAAATTATAGTTTTACCAATCACCCCTATTTGAATAACACATACTTGAGTGGGGCACCACTATAAGTACTACAGAAACTTTGTTCAGGAACATGCACTTAGAAGTATATCTATTCTAGCTAACGTTCCATGTAACGCTGCCATTTTTCACCAAATTTACCATAACATAATGCATATGACTTCAGTTTTTCTGCATTTGTCTTTATTTTCCTAAAACAAGTTGTCTTTACTCCTCAAACTGCTGTCAGAACTACAATCAAGCATCCATGCATCCACAGCCAGAATACATGACTTGTCCCAAAAGGGCATACTAATTACCTAATTCAAACAGAATACAATGTTTTTCAGTTCTCAATAAATTTGAAAACCAAGGTATTGACGTTGATGCCTTAACCCAGAACGATATGCAACATATTTCTGATCTTCAATTGTTCTATAACACCTGTGTTTGAAAACAAGTGAGTGGATATGGTTACTAATGTGTTATTTTCTTTTTTGGTACACTTTTTGTATTTATTTTAGTTTGATTATGACAAAGTCATACTGTTTTACTGCTTTTTACTGTTCTATACCCGTCTAATGACCGCTGTTACACAAACTCATTTCTAATATACTTGAATTAATGTAAACAATATGCACTTGCTTTATTTTGCTGTATACTTTTTACAGTACTGTCATAAAGGGCCTTCAGGCATATTCAAGCTATTTACAACCACTTTTCACCTCAAAGGAACTGCAACAAATTTTAATTGCATTTCATGGTTTGTGCAACACTGATCCCTTCCTCTTAGCACTCCGCTTACTCGCACAAATCATCACACTTTCGCGTGACTTGGACTGCACCACATGGACATGGCGTACTTGCCTTTGCGGAGGTGCACAGGCATGGACAATACCGTGGTGGGTGTTCCTACAGTACTGCTTGAAATTTGAAAGGAGTAAAGAATCTATTTCTTGATTTTCCGTTATTCCCCATCACATAAAACCGTGGAGGGTTTGGGCTAGTTGGTATGACATGATGATTGTTATAGCGTGAGAACAGAACAACAACAAAGGGAGAAGACGAGCGCTCATCTTCTTCTTGTCCTTTTGTCGTCGTTCTGTTCTCATGCTATAACAATCGTCCCGATCCCAATGTCGAGCAGAGTCATCAATTTGTTAAATTGTGTTTCATCATTTAATCACAGATGTCATGTAATCTGACAGGACTCAATATAGAAGAGATATGTATGTACATTGCTCTGTATTGCCTCTGCAATACCAACGCCTCCTTTACTTTTTCCAATGTCAGTGCGAACACACCCTTCTCAACGGTCGGTCTACAGTAGTTCAGATAGTGGTCGTGATGCGACGGTACATGATGGATAGCGCTGCTTGCATCACACGTGCTTCCGAGCGCTTTCTCCTGCAGATGCGATGATGGGGTTCCTCCTCTAATATTATATGTGCGTCTGATTTGTTCTTTCGTGCTCCTCCTTTGTGGCTTGAAGCAGTGCTGCCGCCGCATCACAAAGCAGTGCATGCAGAAGCGTTACAATGACGCATCCCCACTGGTGGCCCGCATAGTTACACGAACGGCGACACGTTATCTCAAAACACCGTATATTTTACAGAGCCAGCGTGACCGCCAACATTGTAAACACGAGGAATGCAAGTCACCGCCCCACTGACCTGTACACAACGAAGCAAAAAATTGCTTCGTATGATTTCTGTCATGAGGCCCTGATGAGGGGTCCTCTCCCCCATGACCGCACACCATACGCAATGTCTAGGCAATGGGCAAGAGCAGAAAAGGGTAGAGCAGAAGGTAGTGATCAGCTGGATCGGGCGCATCTGGCTGGCATTGATAAAATAGAGGTGGCATTGGCAATACAAGTGCAATCACAGACTCCTCACGAGGAGTACATACTCATTCTATGGCGCGCTTTCTGTACTATGCTTTTCTATCCGGAAACACTTTTCTGCAAGATCCAAGTGTGTTCCATATCGTTCTCGAGTCATTCAAATGCACTGAAAACGGGGCTGACTTGCAAATGGCAGTTGCAAGATGTGACAAGAGACCCGCAAGATGTGACAAGTCGACAAAACGAATAAGCGAGAATGTATGGTGATGCACAGCTTCGCGGGGAGTAGCTGCCGCGATCTCGCATAAAAGATAAGCTTTGTCACTTACCCATACAGCAATTCATTACACATTTAAAATATGTCCACTCAAGTTGTCCAGTTTTAACCTACACATGATGAACATAACTGCGAAGCGACACCACTGACACACGGGCACTACAAAGTCGTTTAGCTAAAGGAAATCGTTCGGAAAGGTGTTAGTGTGCAGTGACACACGACAAAGGAGCATCTCCTTAGATACGGCATCTCGAACGTTAAGGGTGTTCTGACTTTCCACGAAGGTTTTCTGGGTGCAGTCACAATCCCCTCTGGAGCTGTTGTAAAAGCGACCACCTCCCTCTACCTCCCCCCCCCCCCCCCCCCCCTCGCACACAAAAGTGCACTGTCGAGGCAGCGTCACGTTTATCTGAGCACGACCCATGAGTTTCCGGCAAGGGGCTGTGATCTGAGGGACCAGAGCTACCTAGTCAACGCACACGGATCGACATGCGTAGATATCGACTGTTACTGTTTCATCCAGAACCATAACACAGGTTCTGCGTTGCACAACGAACTCTAAGTTCGCACATCAGAGAGACTCTGGTAATCATATGATTACACCGAAGGCACACCGAGCATGAATCACCGCTCACCGTGTTAGTGCAGCAAGCGTCCAGCGCGCACTGCTTCGGCCGTGGTATATGGGAGCGGCGCTATAACGAAGCAATAATGCTTCACCGAGGGGCAACATCCCCGACCCGCCGGGGCCGCCGGTCGAGCCTCCCTCAAAAGAAGCGCGCGAATGCACCACCAACCGACCCTCTGTCCCAGTCACCACACGCCTTCCACACACAACAAAGTTGTAGTACGTTGTACGCATGCGCAGACGGAACTATTATTGCGGATAGGCAACATCTAAAGAACCTCTGGAGTGGCAGTTCCGGCAGCCGCCAAAGGGAGCAAGTGAAGTCGCCAGCGGCCATATTGCTACAGGATAAACAGAGTGGAACCGCCATAGTAGAGTGTACTAGAATAGGTTGAGTGGCGCGATCGCCGGGCGCCGCCTACGCTTCCTGGCGAAGCCCGAACTGCGGAAAGTTAGCGTGGGGGCGCTGCGATCGAAGCGGCTTGGAAATTTCCTCCGCGTCCGCCGCCGGCCCATTGCAATTTGCAGTGAAGGCGACAAGGACTGCGTGTTGCGCGAAAAGTTTTGCAACTCAGTGCCGTTTACTCGTGTGTGAAAACGGTGTAGCCATGCCGAAAGGCAGGCATCGGCATTGTTATGCGCCAGGCTGTCGCACTGGTTACTCGGGCGTTAAAGCGGAGAAGCAGCTTTCATTGTTCAGTGTGCCGAAAGATGAAGCTCGTCGGGCGCTCTGGGAGAAGAACTTACATCGGAGTGACAAACCCCTGGATAGCAAATGCGCAGTGTGTGAGCTCCACTTCGATAAGCGGTACATTCAGCGGGACTACGTGCACATTGTGAACGGAAAGGAGGTGAGGATTGAGCGCGGAACACCGGCACTAACGAGTGACGCAGTGCCTACGGTATTGCCAAATGCGCCAAAGTACTTGAGCTCGACAGCTCCTCCCAAGCGAGCACCACCTAAACGGGAGGCACCAGCCAAGCTTGATGATACAAAGCGCAAAAGGAAGAAAGTTGAAAGCCCATGCAGCACTGCGGCTGTGGAAGAGCCGTTCGAAAGCGACGGATTTGATTCCCCAGTGCTTGGCGCTGACAATTTGTGTAATCTGAGTACTCTGTCTGCGTATTGGTCGTCCCATCGGTTTCCAAACTTTGAAGGTACGGTATACGCCCTTGGAGAGCTTGTAGAGTCCACTGGGACCGTAAACTCGGACCGCTCGGTCCTCTTCAGTGTAAGCAAGGACCAAGAAGTCTCATTCAGGACATTCCTCGCTGGGAAATTGATCACTGAAGGACTTGTCGAGACTGTAAGGAAAGCTGAGGGAGTTCTTCTTCGAGCCTCAGGCTTACTGAAATGCCCTGGTGCCATGTCTACATCGGCGATCATCGCAGAGGAGCTAACAAAGAGCCTCCTGAAAAAAACAGCCGTCATTGGCGGCGCTTTCTACAGCCGGAGATGCGCAGTAACGACAGTGACAGAAGGTAAGGGCGAAACTAATCTTTCACTTGTGTACATGTAGTATATTTGCACATAAGGCAACATGGTAAATTAAAAAAGTGTGAGATATTTTGCCCGAGCTCCTGAGACGTAACAGAAATTGTTTTGAAGGCTGATAGCTTCGTGAACTTACTTTACCTCAGGAGCAGTGACATATATTTGGTGCTGATGAATTATGTTTATTTGCACAGCGGTATACTAGAGAAGTCATTTAGCAAACCCAACAAAATAACATTACCATGCTTTTCAGGAGCTCCTTGCCTGTCTTGTCGGTACCTTCGAAAGGCTCTTCTCACAAGAATGTCTTGGCTCAAGTGCCATCGCCGAAAGCAAGTGAGGACAGCTGCCCAGAGGCTGAGGTCAACCTTGCAAAAGCACAGGCGCCTTTCTAAAAAGGTGCTGAGCCTGAAAGGTAGAATTGAGGGCATGCGAGCCAAAAACGCGGCTTTAAAAGAAGAGACACTGGAAGAGAAGATCTCTACGCTGCCCCCAAAGCAGCAGGAAAATGTGCGGCACTGTTTCAGAGCATCAAAGCGAAAGAGCACAAATGGCATGCGTTTCACTAATGAATGGATGCTCGAATGCATTCTCATGAAGATGAGAAGTCCGAAGCTCTATAGACATCTGAGAAGACACAACATTCTCGTGCTTCCGGGCGATACTACTCTGCGGAAGTACACCGCCTCGTACAGGAGTGGCTTCGGTTTCAACAGAAAGGTTCTAGAAACTTTGAAGACGAAAACAGACACAATGAACACCTTCAGCCATCATGGCGGCATCCTGGTGGACGAAATGAAGTTATCTGAGCACCTTTCAATTGACAAGACTGGTAGAATCGGAAGCTTTGTCGACATGGGGCCCTTTATACCACGGGCAGATGCGAACCTTCCTTGCGACCATGATATGGTTGTTATGTTCGCGCCATTTGCAGGCAAATTTTCTCAGGTTTTGGGGGTGTTTGCTGCGCACGGAAATGTTAAGGGCGACCTTCTCTGCAAGATATTGATCGAAACAACGGTCCTAGCAGAACAGGCAGGACTCTTTGTCGACTTCATAACCTGCGACGGAGCTTCGTGGAATAGACGAATGTGGACATCGATGGGCATCCAGGGAACCTCAAGCAAAATAACGTGCAAGGTGAAGCATCCTGTGGACCCCAAGAGGAACCTTCATTTCCTGTCAGACTTTCCTCATCTAGTGAAGTGCCTCCGCAACTCCCTCTTGAAAGGTGGTTTCAGCACACCAAATGGACGGGCATAAATGTTTTATTACATTCTTGCTTAACATTTTATATTAAGTCAACTGGCTAATCACTGCACTTTTATATTGATGCAGGTTTCAGTGTATTTTGTGGCCGAGGCTTTCAACCTGGACAAAGACAGCATCACCTTGAAGGCTATGCCAGGGCTGACTACAAGCCACCTTCAGCCCAATGACTTCGAGAAGATGAGAGTGTCCCTTGCCTTCCAGCTATTCGGAGACTTTGTGCTGCGTGGTCTACACCACTACAAGGACACCCTTGAGTCACGTTATGGAAAGGGTGCAGTTGATGCTACAGAATCATTCTTCAGGTACTTAAATATATTGTATCTGCTGTATTCTTTGGGCAAAAGACAAGAGTGCGTTAATGGCCATCACTGTTGAACCCAGCTCTAATGAAGATTTTTTTGCATTTACAGGCTGATTAACCAACTCATCAAACTGATGACCTCCAGATTCAAGTCCGAGGCTCTTTGGCCGCACTCAAGTGGTAGTTCTGCGCTCTCCAGTTTTCTAGACTACATTGACAAGTGGGAGCAGTATGTCGGCAAGGGCGTCGGGTTCCTTAGCAAGCAGACAGCTACTGGCCTGAGGGTTACGCTGTCCAGTGTGCTTTCTTTACTGGACTATGTTACCACAGAACTAAGCTACAGGTATTTGATGACGAGTAACCTAAGCCAAGATCCACTCGAGAACTTGTTTGGAGTAGTGCGGCAGTCGTCGGGCTGTAATGACCATCCGACCCAAGAGCAGTTCTTAATTGCTGTCAACTGCCTGAGCTACTATAGCCTAGCTAAGCCAGTGCACGGTGCGAGCGTTACACCATTGGTGCTTACATCACTGCTCGACACTGGAGATGCCCACTCGGCAGATGCAATAAGCCTGCAGCAAACAATTGATGACCACATCGCTCAAGGAGATCTTGACGTGATAGAAAGCGCTGCCTGCCATGACAGTATTGCTGCCCCAACTGGGCATTACAGCCTTGTGGGGAAAAAAAGTGACTCTCGCCTAGCATATTACATGGCTGGATATGTTGCTAGAAAGTGTGTGCAGAAGTCAGGATGCACTGCTTGTCGTACTTCACTGCTTGTTCCAGCTTCAGAAGGGAAGGAACATGAGTGTTCGGCCTTTACGAACTTTTGCGACAAGGGTGGTTTGTTGTACTCGTCTAAGGAGCTGTTTGACTTCGTTAGCTATTTAGAAGACACATTTACAGACTGCTTCAGCACTAATGAACTGCGCAGTGATAGCATTTTAGATGTGCTGCATCTGGTCAGGGTTGAAGGGAGACCCCTTGGCTGTGCTCAACATGCAAAAGCAGTGAAGTCTCATGTGGTAAAATTTTATGTTGTCACTCGATTGCACTTTTTGGTTAAAGGAATCAATAGAGCTAAGGAAGAACGGCGCAGGAGGCTGCAGCACCTAAAGCTCCGTAGGTGCGTGTGGGATTCCCGTACAGCTGAGTGCTCCACTCGTCCTGTTACATACCTGTAACAGTTTTCTTTGTACATAGTATTTACAGTGATTTTTTTGTAATTTGAAGTTTATCTGTGTACATAGCCAGTGTAACAGTGATACTTCTTTGTATATATGTAAAGCAATAAGTTTTAAGCATCTTTATTTTTATTTTGTTTTCCTTTAAAATGTATCTTTATGCATAGTGTGTGTGACTGATATTTCTTTGTATATAGCAGCCGGTTTTAAACATCTTTATTTTTATTTTGTCGTGTCTGTAAACACATTTAATATGCTGTTGACAGGTGAAAAAAAACCGCGTTGGTTTATGCCTGGCTTTATCCTTTGGCTCAAATTACAGCTGCTTGTTTCTACACATTGAACGATATTTGTATATTTGCTGCTGATCCAATAAAAAGGTAAGGGATGTAGACATCGCTGTTGTCCTTTTAATATGGATCTAAGAAAAAGCAGTTTTCTATTAGCATCGTTATTTAAAGCATTCCTTCCCGTAGCCGAGGCGTTGTGACAAAAGCACACGTGTAGCTTTCGCTCACGCCATTCATTCCAATTTGAACTGCTATTTACAGCTTCGCTTTACTGCGGCCATGCATAATGAGACGGACAGCACGCGGACTTGACAGTTTCTCTCAATTGGTAAAAAGACTAAAAAAAACGGAATCGCGAAGAACCTACGCAAGGGGCGCATTCGCGCGTCACCGTAGCAGACGCTCAGAGCCGCGAAACCAGTGCAGCAACATGTAGGGGCAATATTATGAGGCGAAAGCCTGATTATCGTGTGGAAACACCATTTTTAATGCTACTCTGACAGTATAAATCTATAGCCGTACACCGGTAAGAAACTGGCCGTCGCACGTGTCGCCAAAGGCGCAGAAGCCCGGCAACGCACGACCGCGCGAGCGATGCGCGACCAAGCCGGATTGCTCGTAGCGCCCTCTATCGCAACCGCGTACGGAGCTTCAGGAAAACAGCGGCGGTCGCGCCACTCAACCTATTCTAGTACACTCTAGCCATAGACGGCAATGGACGCCCGCGCCAGTTGGCAGTTCCACGAAAAAAAAAAATGGAAACCACTTTTAGGTTACACCAACGAACAAAGGACTCTTCTAGTTTGACACAGATTATTTTATGCACCCATTATCAGCTGCATGCTTTCAGAATAATCTGTCGTCGACGGATGCTTCGCATATCGAGCTTGCTGGCGCAGTGTATATAATTACTTATGTGTTACAGGGAACTAGTTTTTTTTTCTGAAACGTAATAGTTACAGTGTTCAAATAGAAACCACGAGCTAGAGGTTTCAAAGCCCTTATTCACTTTATTAAGCACACATCCATCCCAGACAACACTCGATGTCCTGAGGTCGTGCTCATATGGTACAATCGTCCTCGCACAGTTCTCATTGACCTTAGTACTTACTGAGGACGACACAAGCTGGTTTGCTCCGGAAACGTCTTTTCGAGTCCTTTCTGAGGACAACAATTGGTCTGGAAAAGGATCTGTTAAGGATCCTTTGGGGATGACAAAAGCATCGCACTGAGCACTTAGATCACACGTGGTAAATTTTCATCCACGATTCGCGGAGGAATTGTTCATGTGTATTATAATGATATCTCAACCTTTTGAAGTGCATGTTTGTTCCTCGGTTTTAACTAGAGAGTGTCCTTTTTTTTCAACTTTGGTATCATGCTATAGTTGTATTCACGGGACGTCAGCTTGGCGGGCGCGGCTGCGAAAAGTGCGCCAACTGTGCTGGCGACTGCGTGGCCACAATTTTGAAGGCCACCATACCGGCGGGCGACGGCATACCGGCAGTTGAGTCCGACGGTATCAAAAGGCGCACACATGTTACTGCGGGCACGTTGCTCTGGTTTTATTTTATTTGGATTTAGAAGATACGATACTTGCCATCTGCTGCAGCCATGGGCGCTGCGTGCTCGGCTCGCTTGAGCATGTACGCCGAGAAATTGGACGCCGATGCTTAACAGCGATACACGGACAAAATTGCTCCATGCAGTGTGCGTTGACCCACTAATTCTGACGAGCGAGGAAGCCGCACTTGACACCAGACAGGTTTCGAAGGTGAAACTGTGAGAAATAAAGGGCTGCTTGGTGCATATACGACAAGTTTTGTGATGCACGAACGACTCAAAGCCAAGAAATCGTTGGATGTTTGACTAGTGGCTTTGTCCATGAACATTTGCTGAGAAGTCGCGGTGACTGCGTCGCTTTGGGCGCACAGGTAAGATGATCTGAAGTTATATCTGTAAGCGCTAAAGTCGAGTTTACCCATGAATTTGATACTAGTGCGATGTTTTACGAATCCAGTTGAAGCAATGGGCTTAACAGCGCTTACGAACTTGCACGTGAAAACACCATTGCATGGGGCAGATTAGATTGTATTAAAGTGCACACGAGACTGACATTTCCACTTGGTTGACTCACCCACAGCTTTGATGAATCAAATAAAAAGTATCAGGAGCAATGATTATTCACAAGACCAAGGTTACAAGTCACCGGTGCTTTGACGGAAGTGCACTGAGCCAAGTCACTTTAGCGAAAAAAACAAAAGCGTGTGCGCCTCTCATTTAAGCTTGTTGTTTGCCGCGCATGTATTAATATGAATAGTCCAACGTTGAGTATTCCACTTTGTTGTGCTTTTCGCAGACGTCTCTGCCAGAGCATTGAAACTGACTGCATCTACTGTGTTATTGTGATGTGTTTATTTTCGTGTATTGTTCCCATCTGAATTACTCAAAGCTGTCACAATTCGAACTCAACGGAGTTTCCCTTCGCAGGTGAACGACTCTAATGTTGAATTCCAAGGGCCGGATTGCGAATGGAGCGCGCAGGCCCGAGCGGGATTACTCTCGCCGAAACGCTGGCCTCTCGAAGGGAGAAATCTAGCGAGGGAGCCCCAAAGGGTGCGAGGGGGTGCAAATCGTTTTTCGGACACCCGTATGTGATTAGATGAATGGCGGGCGCACAGAATACATCCCTTGAACTTATAGTCATATCCACCGATTTAGGCGGAACAAGAAATCTTGCTCCACGAAGCAATCCATGATCTGCGGTTGCTCTCAGTCTGCCATTGGAACACACAATTCATGCTCTCAATCCGTCATTGCAATGTGATTGCTCCGATCAGAGCAGAAAAACTTGATATGGATCTGCCATTCGAATTCAACATTAGGCACTCAACCCACAGCTTTGTTAAAATCAGACTGGCGAAGACGGCTGAATCGCTCGCCACGACGCTTCACTGCAACCTGTAGTGTATGGCTACATGACCGCGAATAATTTTCGGCAAGGAATAAAATTTATCTGGTTTTGAGTTTTCAAGCTCGTCAGCCTTCCATTTTGTGCGATGACTGCACACAAATACGACACAACCAAATGTGATAACGGACGGAGGACGCAAAAAAAAAAAAAAACGGCTCAACTTTAGTATCACGCAGAGGCACATACAAGTGTACATGACCCTAGTTATGGTGGCCGGAAGTAGTGCCTTCCCCGCATTGCCCGCATGCTTTGAGAATAGCTGAAGCCTGAAGTGTAGGCTGCGGGAGCACATGGTTGCTCGGAGGTGAATACCATCTACACTTTGAGGCTAAAATTGAACTTTTAAACTGATTCAAAAATTTCCCGCGCATCTTTCTTACACATGACCAACCTCCTTTCATGCGCAGTGACGTCAACTCGGCGATCGGCAACGTGACACAGCTCGTCGATTGGTCTAAACGAGTTCTCAACATACAGTATAATGAAGTCAACATCAGTTACTGTTCCCACCCACAGCTACAAAACTGACCCCCCCCCCCCCCCTCTTTTTTTTCGGCCTCGCAGTGCTTACGCTCACGTGCTTCGCTCTCAACATGAGCAACACGAGGAAAAAGCGTTGCTACGTGGGCGGAGTCACGATGACAGGCTGCGTGACGGGCCACGCCTTCCCCTGCATGGGCGGAGAAGGGTGGCGAGACCACACGAAAATTTGAAACCAACTGAATTTAATGTTCTAACTCCTGTAATTTACTTAAATAGCATGTATTCGCGAACTTCTTGTGGCAGCATGTTCAAAAAGAAAAAAATGCACCTATTTCTCTTGACAACATTTTTTTTACCGTCGAGCTGTTTACCACCGTCCAATTTATTCCCGCTCACAAACTTTCCAGATTGCCTTGGCATCTACTAGACCATAGTTCTTACATATGCACATATGCATGTTGCCGAAAGACATGGTTTGGTAGGCAGTGTTCGTGACTGTCATGGGAACTTATTGTTTACGGTTATTGACTGTTGATCGGAAAGAAGGGAATTCCGCCTTGGGCGTTAAGGTCGCATTTCGGTGGAGAAGAAATGCTAGAGGCGCGCCAATCGGGCACCCAGAGCCCTCCATACGGTGTCCTGAGTCACTGTGGGACGCCAAACCACATAGACGAACCAATACACCGTGTACAAAGCATGCTTCAATAGAGCGGTTGTAACCAACTGATAACAGACTGTACTAAAACACAGGTTACTAGATGGTTAACAAACTGCTCGCAGACAGTCATTTTGTTGAGAGTGTTACTGGGGCGTCTATTGAACATTGCTGATAGGGCGTTACTACGTGGTCAACAGATAGCCTATGACGGTCTTTCTTTTGAGAGAATATGACTAGGGTTTCTATTGAATATTGATAACAGGACGTTACTTTGTGGTCAACAGACAGTCTATGAACACGATTCTGTTCAAATTTGGCGGTCAATTGCAGCCAGAAGGTTGACAAATAGCAGTCTAAAGACAGTCGGTATACATTTTTTAAAGTGTTGTTAGGTTCTATTGGCCATTGTTTTTAGACAGTCAACTTATTGTTATTAAACATTTTTGTAAGGCTCATCTCGCTGTTATTATAGGTACAATAAATGTGGCGTATGTTTATTTTTAAACGAACGAGGGCGCCACCCCGATGTTTTTTCTACCTCTTCTCGAGGAAGGAAGAAGACGAGCCGCGCGCCGTGCATTTCGCGTGACGTTCCAGAGCCGACCGGGCAGCCGAGACCAGCGAACGCCGCGTCACCATGGCCCAGGAGATCAACGAGCAAATGGGCCGCGTGCTGCGTGAGCGAGGGCTCATCGGCGACACCCTGGACGGCTTCGAGCGCAAGACCAAGTTCAAGCGTGAGCAGCTCGTCTACGGTGAGTGGGCGGCACCGGCTACGCCACACGCGCCACAGATCGCTCAACCTCGCAATACCAAGCTACAAATTGCTTTGCGCTATCCGGACGCGCGAATTTACGTTGCGCATCGACTTATGCTGGCGCAAAGTGGTACCAACGACGTGTGTTTACACGAAAATTGAGTAATGCATGCTCAGCGATTGAGGAACGTAACGGAGCTTGTTGAGGGAACTCGTGAGGTGATTACACGTGGCGTAGTATTTCCATTGAACTCGCTTCGACGTTGAATACTGCCCAACCTTGTACCCAATGTTGCGTCACTTGACAGGACATTCACTTTTGTTCTCTCAACGCAACCTAGTTTCAAATCATTGGACTCATGTTAAGTCTTATAAAACGCGAGCAAAAAAAAAAAAAGAACCCGTAGAGGTTTTGCGTAGTAAAAGCGTTCTTTTATTCCTCAGATCCTGCTCTTTGCAAGAAAGCCCAGGTCTGCGCTTTAGATGCCGCCGATTGCAGTCCTAATATCACACGCTTTTTAAAAATTAATTTTGCTGCCGGCAACTATAACTTATATAGTTTGCACATGGTTACAGTCAACGCATGTTCGTAATTTGTCTTGTCAGGGTGGCTATCAAGAAGTGCGGCTTGGCTGCTGGGGCTGAAAATGTCTACGTTCTGGAGTCATCAAAACTTCTTTGTGGACAAGTTTATGGATAAATATTTAATTCGACAGTCGTGAAGAACTGCTGCCTCCTTCACTGAATGTATGCACATTGGCGCTGTGAAGTAGACAGTGCAATTCGTACTGTGTCGATAATCATGACTCTAGCATATGCTCTATAATAAGGGGAACCATCTGAGCTGGCGTTCTGTGTGTGATCAGCCCGACAGTTATGTTCATGTTTTCTCAGTGCCTTCTAGTACGTTTCTTTATCCTAAAGAGGTGGGAGTTGCCTTGTTTTGTGTTAATAGAATGATCTTCTTCCACAATCCTTCTCGATCCAGCGGTATCTTGTGATTGGGTCTTGAGCAGATTGAAGCAGGGGCGGATCCAGCCACTCAATTTAGCGCGGGGGGGGGGGGGGGGGGGGGGGGGTTGCCTATATATAGTAACACTGGAGAGGGGGCATGGTCACGATAGGAAAGAATACGTTGTTTTTGAAGAAAAGAAAAAAATGCACATAATTTCCGTCTGCCTACATGTCGACACGGCACAGTGCCTTGCAGGAAATAGAGCAAAGGCAGTAAAAACATTACATCACCCTCCGCTAAAGGGAATCGTGTGTAGATGGAAGCAGCGGGCGCTGACGCGTTAGCTCTGACTAAAGGTGCGTTCACACTAGGCCTCGAAGAGAGCAAAAACGGCGAAACTCTCAAGAAATCTTGCTCGGCTTCCAGTAGAGTGTGAGCCTCGGGTAATGGAGAACACCCATTGTGAGATGTAGCGCGACTAGACGCCTTATCTCTGCCTCGTTGGTGTTGATGGAGCTTCCTTCGTGAAGCACTGAGTAGCGGTTTGTTTTTTTCAGCCAGTTCCAGAAATACACTATTTGACACATACCCTTTGAAATATTCGTAGGGGTACAGCAGCTCTCTGAGTTCCGATGCTTTGTGGACATCGCCTTTGTAAGTTGAGTCTGGCGCCTCTAATAAGTTTCGTCTCCAGCCGCCAGATGTGTTCAGTGCACTCTCGTCATCGGAGCTTTCAGTGTCGCTCTCCACTGGATCTTCATCAGGAGCACAAGGCACCACACTCTCGTCGTCTGATTCATCGAATTCCCCGTCTACACTGGATAGGTTGCCGTTGTCGAGCTCCTCAAACAGCGCGTCCGTTGTTGCTTGTAGCCGTGTGGAACGGGTTCGGTGACACGAATAAAACGAAATCACAGCTATACCCGCACCTGCGAACATAGAAAAACAGGTTAATTAACATACCGCGTCAGCATTCGTTCAGATATGGCTCGTCGAAAACACGCACCACAATAGACTCGGACACCGCCATTTGCAACCGTTGAGCCCTGATGGTGTCAAAATCGTGCATGACAAAAGCATGCCACTGCAAAAATGCTGCACATGCAAACTAAAAAACTCAAACGTCTTCCAACTAACGTACTACTAAGGCACAACATACAAAAAACTGGGCGCATAATACAAAAGAATTACGTAGCTACAATTGCAGAAAATCGGAACTCACCCGGCTCCGCGTTCGCCATGATTTGTTTGTTTGTATCCTCTAATCCTTGGCTCGTACCAACGTTTTTAGATAGCTTCAGTTGACAAAGCGCGCGGCATTCCATTGGCGTGGGGCGGCTTCCCGCGATCGCCAACCAGGCGGTGGCGCTGCGGTAGCGTTAGGATCGATCTCGGCGCTCCGTCTGCTACAGCTACAACGGGAAAGGCGCCGACAGGAGACTACCGCAGCGGTTAATTCTTTTATTCGAGAAGCAGAAGTGAAACTTCGCTCGCATTTAACCTTTACCGAAAAGAGCTTTTTCGTTTTTTTTTTCGCAACATTATAACTAGAAACAAACAGCATGTAAGACATGACAAAAAGAAAAGGCAAACTGTACAGCGCGCTTACCTTCATTCCTGTTCGCGTTGTAGCCGGCGTTTACGTTTATTTTTGGCCAGTATATGTGCAAATCACCCCAGGATCCCGTAATGCTCAGCGATATTCTAACCTTACCAGAACACGTGTTACACGGCCAAAATCCGCTGAAAAGCTTGGAAAATCAAAAACCAGCAAGGAAGCCAGAAAAAAATTGTTTTGTAATTTTTATTTGACGTCATGAAACTGAAAGCAGCAGCTGCATTATTTACAGGGACATATTTACAAGGGTTAAGTGGTCAGAGTTGTACTGCAAGCCTTCACATCAGCTTCACTTTCTTTCTAGCAGATGCGACTTTTTTTGAAGAGCTGAAGCTTTTACAAGTATCTCTGGCAGCGAAATGCAGTCTTAGCACTATGTAGGAGTGAAGAAGCTCTGCCGTAGTGGTGACCTTGTGAACAGAACAGCCGACACTAGTAATGTCGCAGTCCTCAAGAGCGTCGAGGAGGCTCCAAAATGTCTCTGAGCAGAGCCGGTTCTTTTGCAGCTCATCCGAAATTTTGGCTTCGATGCCTCGAAACATACACAAGAGCTCCCATGATGGCAATTTGAGGCTCCCGTGCTTAAATTCCCTCTTCAAAGTGAGAAATGTCTCCAAGCACTCCGCATTTTCGGACTGGATATTACGTTCACAGTCAGAACACCTCTGATGCTTGAGGTAAGAGTGGACAAGATAGCCGCACAAGTAGTAAATAACACAGTCCTGTGCTGCTGGTGTGGAGTACCCATGATCAGGTGCTGTCGGTGTTTCATTCTGTGCAGTAGAAGAGATTTCTGCCAACTTCGCTCGAATAGCCTCCTGGAGTCTTTCGTGGGACGACAGTGTGTCCTTTCTTCCCCTTTTCATGCTGTCTGCAACAGTGGCAAGCACAAAAGTCTGCTCATCACTCACGTTCCCAGTGACACAAGTGCTGATTGGTGTATATAGGCTCAGAAGCCTATATATGTGTGCAAAGCTGATTAGGGTAGGGTGATCCTCATCCCCTCCATAACTTCTTGTCACACCAAAAAAACCTCTGAAAGTAAGGAAGACGTGTTTTTTTATAAAAGCAATGTGCGCAAACATAAACGTGATAAACAAAAAGAACAAACGGCTTACCTCTAAAGGATCCTGCTTTAGTATGCCCGTGAGCACATAACGCGCTCCTTTAGAGAGAAGATCTGTTATGAGGTCCCGTACTGATGCAAGCGTAACACGAAGCGACTCCATTGTAACTTGCGATGCAAACATCACTGTCCCATCGGTGATATGGTTTTCCTCGGTCTTATTTAAAGCATCAAGGAACTCCTGGATGGCCTTCAAAATAAGCCAGTGAGCAAATTAATTTGCACCTGCACAACAGCAAGCCAGGGCGCAGTTCCTAGCGTGATAACATCGGTGCATTCATCAACATCCATGCCGTCACATGCGTCAGTTTCGTTGTACAAATATTCATCACTTTGGCAGGAAGAAACTTGGGCGGAAACCACTGACCTCACTTTGGGTGGCTTTCTTGCTGACTTCGGCACCGTTGGTTTTGAGAGATGCTTAGGTACGTTCGGAAAAATTCGAGGCACAGCGCGCTCCTTCAGTGTCCATCTGCCTCGCGGTATCGTTACGGTTTGACCGTTCACTGTGTGCTCATAGCAGCTTATGATGTCTACAGGCTCGAAATGAATGTCACAGACATACGTTTTTGGCGTTACCTTAAAGTTCTTCCGTGGAATCGCGTTTTGCAATGCCTTCAGTAAGTCAGGGTCCTTTGGGGGCTTGAAAAAATGTCGCGGTCCGGGATTTGCAGCTGCCAAAGCATACCCCGAACGACAGCCGGGCGCGCTGCACGTCGGCATGTCGAGAATCCGCACTGACACTTCACGGTATCCACTGAAAAGAGTTCATGCCACTGTAGAACGTGTCCAAGCTGGAAGTACAGGCGTGATGAACATGCGAGCGCCAGCAACACACCAAAAGCACGTGTCTGAAGCAAGCGTCACCACCACTCACTGCTTCTCAACCGATCTCAACGGAACGCCAGCGCCACCTTTCGCAATGGCGATAAAACGACGCCGCCTCTCGAAGCGAGTTTGCAAACTGAAAAGTATCTAAAAACGTTGGCTCGTACCCACTCGGGGGGATTGGCCAAGAGAACATATAGTCTCATATGGACGATAACTGCATTATTGCTTACAACGAAAAAAAAAAGGGGGAGGGGGGAATCGTATAGTGAAGACAGTATGTTAAAAAAAAGAAAGAAACCAAAGATTTAGATAGTGAGGAAAAAAAGAAGCAGCGGCGCCATGATGTCGCCGCTGCTACTTCTTTGTTGTGAATTCGGTGTTCGAAAAAACACGAGAATACTGATGTCTATGGCAGTAGGTGGGCCGAGACTTCACATTGGGCGAAAAATTGCGAGTTTTTGTTTCGAT